CTGTTCTGGAGAATACTCCATGTATACTTGAGAAGATGTATTCTGTTGTTGTTGGATGGATTATGTATATCCAGTATATATCTGTTCTTCACACTTGGTTTATAGTGTCATTCAAGTCCTCTGTTTTGTTATTTCTCTTCTGCCTGGTTTTTGCATCCATTATTAAAAATTAGGTATTGAAAAATCCTACTACTTTTATGTTGCTGTCTATTACTCCTTCTAATTCTGTCACTGTTTGCTTCTTATATTTAAGAGCTCCTCCTCTCTAACAAATAATATTTATTACAGAAAGAAAGAGCATGAGAGCAGGGGGAGCAGCCGGCAGAGGAAGAGGGAGAGAGAGAAGCAGGCTTCCCACCTAGCAGGAAGCCCGATGTGGGGCTCAATTCCGGGACCCCTGGATCATGACCTGAGCTGAAGGCAGATGCTTACTTGACTGAGCCACCCAGGCACCCCAATAAATAAAATCTTTAAAAAATTTGTTATATCCTCCTGGTGAATTGACCCTTTTATCACTATATAATGTGCTTTGTCTCTTGTGAGTTTTTACTTAAATTGTATTTTGTCTAATGTAACCACACTACCCCTGCTGTCTTTTGGTTACTATTTGCATGTAATATCTTTTTTCCATTCTTTCACTTTCATCCTATGTATCCTTAGATCTAAAGTGAGTCTCTCATGTAATTTTTTTTATCCATTTAGCCAATATATGTCATTTGATTGGGATTCAATACTTTCACATTTAAATAGTTACTGATAGACAAAGACTTAATATTGCCATTTTGTCAATTGTTCTATCTATGTCTGAAGCTATCCCTCTTTTATTGCCTGACTTTGTGTTGCATTGATTTTTTTCGCAGTCACATGCTTTGTCATTTTTGTTCTTTTTTATTTGTTTGGAAGGGGGTTAGATTTTTATGAAGTTTTTTAGGCTATGCTTTTATTTATTAAAAACTTTAATTTTTAGAGCATTTTTAGGTTCAGAGCAAAATTGAGTGGAAAGTACAGAGCATCCCCATATACTCCTGTCCGCACACAGGCTAAGTGCCCCTGCTATTGACATCCTGCACCACCATGATACATTGTTTATGACTGGTAAACCTACACTGATATTTTATCATCCAAAGTCCATAGTTTACATTAAGGCTCATTATTGGTTTTGCACATTCTGAGTTTTTTTTTTTTTTAAGATTTTATTTATTTATTTGAGAGAGAGACAGTGAGAGAGAGCATGAGCAAGGAGAAGGTCAGAGAGAGAAGCAGACTCCCTGCGGAGCCGGGAGCCCGATGCGGGACTCGATCCCGGGACTCCAGGATCATGACCTGAGCCGAAGGCAGTCATCCAACCAACTGAGCCACCCAGGCGTCCCGCACATTCTGAGTTTTGACAAGAGTATAATGATACCAATTTAGTGTCATCAGGAATAGTTTCACTGCCCTAGAAATCCTCTATTCTCTCTCTCTTCATTCCACTCTCTCCACACCCCTCCCTACCAGCTCTCAGTTACCACCAATCTTTTCACTGACTCCATACTATGGCCTTTTCCAGAATGTCATATACATGGAATCATATAGTTTGTAGTCTTTTAAAACTGGCTTCTTATATTTAGTATTATGCACTTAAGTTTCTTCCATATCTTATAAAGGCTTGAGAGCTCATTTCTTTTCAGCATTGAGTAATAGTCCATTGTCTGGATATACCACAGGTAGCTTATCTTTTCACGTACTGAAGGACAATCTTGGTTGCTTTTAAGTTTTGGCAATTATAAATAAAGTTGCTATAAATACCTGCGTGCAGGTTTTTGTGTGGACATACAATTTCAATACCAAAGAGCATGACTGCTGTATCATATGGTAAGAGTATATGTAGTTTTGTAGGAAACTCCCAAACTGTCTTCCAAAGTGGCCGCTCCACTTTGCATTCCCATCAGCAATAAATGAGAGCCCCTGTTTCTCCACATCTTTGTCAGCATAGGGTGGTGTCAGGTTTTTTTGCGGGGGGGAGTGGCCATTCTAACAGAAATGTAGTGGTGTCTCGTTGGGCTTTGGATTTTTTTTTTTTTATTTGTCTTTTAGAGGGGGAGGAGGGGCAGAGGGAGAAGGAAAGAGAATTTTAAGCAGGCGCCATGCCCAGTGTGGACCCGCATGCTGGGCTTGATCTCATGACCCTGAGATCATGACCTGAGCTGAAATCAAGAGTCAAACACTTAATTGACTGAGCCACCAAAGCATCCCGTACTGTTGTTTTAATTTTAATTCCCTAATGAGGTATAATGTTGAACATCTTTTCATATTCTTACCTGACATCTGTTTATCTTCTTTGATAGGTGTCTATTCAGGTCTTTAGCCTATTTTTTAAATCAAGTTTTTTTTTTTTTGTTCCCTATTATTGAGTTTTTAAGAGTTCTTTGTATATTTTGGATAATAGTACTTGATCTGATATGCCTTTTGCGAATATTTTTTTCCCAGTCTGTCCCTCATTTTCTTTTTCTCTTGGTGTTATGTTACAAAGTGCAGAAGTTTTTAATTTTAGTGAAGTCAGTTGTTTCTTTCACAGATTGTGTTTTTGCTGTTGCATTTGAAAAGTCACAAAGAAAATCATCTAGATTTTCTATGTTATCTTCCAGGAGTTTGATAGTTCTGGATTTTACATTTAGTTCTATGATCCGTATTGGATCATAGTTCTTATGAAGGGTGTGAGGCCTGTCTAGATTCTTTTATTTGCATGCAGATATCCAGTTTTTCCAGCTCCAATCGTTGAAAAAGACTGTTTTTGTCCATTGTATTACCTTTGCCCCTTAGTCAAAGATTAGTTAACTATATTGATGTGAGTCCACCTCTGGACTCTCCATTCTATTTCACGGATCTATTTGTCTATTCTTTCCCCAAATCTATACCATCTGGATTACTACAGCTTTTTAGTAAGTCTTGAAGTGTCAGTCCTTTGTTCTTCTCTCTCAGTATTGAGTTAGCTATTTTGGTTGGGGTATTTTTTTGTTGTTTGTTTGTTTGTTTGTTTGCTTCTCCACATAAACTTCAGAATTACTTTGTCAATAGTCACAGAATAATTTTCCTGGACTTTGGTTGCACTGAATCTTTGGATCAAGCTGGGAAGAACAGCCTGACAAGTTGAGGTTTCCTATCCAAGGATGTGGAATATCTTCCGATTTATTTAGTTCTCCTTTTGGTATCTGTTATGGATTGAATTATCCCACCGAAATTCATATGTTAAAGTTCTAATTGCCAACGTAGAGACATTAGGAGGTGGGGTCTTTGGGAGGTAATTAGGTTTAGATGACATCATGAGTTTGGAGCCTCATGAAGAGATTGGTGCCCTATAAGAAGAAACAGAAAATCAGACCTTTCTCTTTTTTGCATATGAGGATACAGCCAGAAGGCAGCTGGGAAAGCTGCCATCTGCAAACCAAGAAAAGGGCTCTTACCAAGAATCAAATCTGTTGGCACCTTGATGTTGGACTTCACATCTTCCAGAACTGTGAGAAATAAATCTGTTCACTTCTGATAGAGGCGTGCTAGACTCTCCAACAATAATAGTGGATTTATCTGTTTCTCTTTGTGCTTCTATCAGTTTTTGCCTCGCTTATTTTGATACTTTGTTGGTAGACATGTACAGGTTAAGGATATTTATGTATGTCTTCTTTAAGTACGGATCTCTTTATCATTATGTAGTGGTCTTCTTTATGCCTGATAACTTACCTTGCTCTGAAGTCTACTGTCTGAAATCAATGTTGTTACTCCCACTATCTTTTGATTAGTGTTAGCATAGTATATTTTTCTCCATACTTTTCTTTTTTTTTTTTGTTTCAAGTTTTTATTTAGATCCTAGTTAGTTAACATATAGTGTAATATTAGTTTCAGGAGTAGAATTTAGTGATTCTCACTTACATATAATACCCAGTGCTCATCACAACAAATGCTCTCCTTAATAATCATCCCCCATTTAGCCTATCCACCTGCCTACCTCCTCTCCAGCAGCCCTCAGTTTGTTCGGTCAAGAGTCTGTTTTATGGTTTGCCTCTCTTTTTTTTTTCCTCCTGTGGTCATCTGTGTTGTTTCTTAAATTCCACATATGATTTCAATCATATGGTTATCCCTTTCCTTTTAATCTATATGTGTCTTTATATTTAAAGTAGGTTTCTTGTAGACAACATATAGCTGGGTCTTGCTTTTTGACCCACTTCAACAATCTCAGTCTTTTTTTTTTTAAGATTTATTTATTTATTTGAGAAAGACAGAGAAAGAGAGCCGGGGTGGGGGGATCATAGGGAGGGAGAGAGGGAGAGAAGCTCAATCAGACTCCCTGCTGAGTGCAGAGCCCAACGCGGGGCTGAATCTCACGACCTTGACATAATGACCTGAGCTGAAGTCAAGAGTCAGATGCCTAACCGACTGAGCCCCCCAGGTGACTCTCCGTTGGTAATCTTAAAGAAGCTCCCTTACCTGTGACAAACCATTTTTCTCTTGGTAATTTTGGGATTTTCTTTTTGTGATCTTTGGCAGTTTCTTTTTTTTATTTTAATAATAATACTGCTAACACCGTGGAGGAAACTAACAGAAGAAAATCAGTGATTCTTACTTTTTTTTCTTACAAGTTTTTATTAAATTCCAGTTAGTTAACACACAGTGTAATATTGTGTCAGTTATATAATATAGTGATTCAGCACTTCCTTACATCACCCGGTGCTCATCACGAGTGCACTCCTTAATCCCCATCACCTATTTAACTCATCCCCCTGCCTCCCTGCCTCTTGCAACCATCATTTTGTTCTCTATACTTAATAATCTGTTTCTTGGTTTCCTTTCTTTTTCCCCCTTCTTTGTTCCTTTGTTTTGCTTCTTAAATTCCACATATGAATGAAATTGTATGGTATTTGTGTTTCTCTGACTGACTTATGTGGCTTAGCTTAATACTTTCTAGCTCCATCCATGTTGTTGCAAGTGACAAGATTTCATTCTTTTTAATGGCTTAATTCTCTTTATGTGACATCCCACCCCGGCAACTAAAAATGTCTGCCATCTTCAAAGGCAACAGCATGGCCATCCAGGAGCTGTTCAAGTGCATCTCGGAACAGTTCACTGCCATGTTCCAGCGCAAGGCCTTCCTTGTACATGGTACACGGGTGAGGGCAAGGATGAGATGGAGTTCACCAAGGCAGAGAGCAACATGAACATCCTGGTGTCCAAGTACCAACAGTACCAGGACACCGCAGCCAAGGATGAGGGCAAGTTTGAGGAGAAAGCTGTGTGAACTCTTTATTCAATTGCAACTTGTTCTCTGTGTGCACTTGTACTCCTTCCTGTCTTAATGTCACATGAGGTACAGATGCCACGATTAAAGAATTTTCATAGTGAAAAAAATTCATCAGTTGATAGACTTTGGGGCTCTTTAAATAATTTGGTTATAATTGATTATGCTACTATAAACATTGGGCTGCTTGTATCCCTTTAAGGCAGTATTTTTCTTTATCCTTTGGGTAAATACCCAATAGTGCAATTGTTGAGTTGTAGAATAGTTCTATTTTTAACTTTTTGAAGAACCTCCATACTGTTTCCCACAGTGGCTGCTCCTGTTTGTATTCCCACCAACAGTGTAAGAGTTCTTCCCTTTCTCTGCATCCTCACCAACATCTGTTGTTTCCTGAGTTGTTAATTTCAGCCATTCTGACAGATGTGAGTGATATCTCATTGTAGTTTTGATTTGTGTTTCCCTGAGGATGACTGATATGGAGCATCTTTTCATGTGTCCGTTGGCCATCTGTATGTCTGTTCATGTCTTCTGCCCATTTTTTAACTGCATTATTTGATTTTTGGGTGTTGAGCTTCATAAGTTCTTTATATATTTTGGAAACTAACCCTTTACCAAATAAGTCATTTGCAAATATCTTCTCCCATTCTGTAGGATACCTTTTAGTTTTGTTGATTGTTTCCTTTCTGTAGAGAAGCTTTTTTTTTTTTTTTATGAAGTCCCAATAGTTTTTTGGTTTTTTTTGTTTTGCTTTGCTTTTGTCTCCCTTGCCTCAGGAGACATATCTAATAAGAAGTTGCTCTGGTTGATGTCAAAGAGGTTACTGATGTTTTCTTCTCTCAGATTTCAATGGTTTCAAGTCTCACATTTAGGTGTTTCATCCATTTTTATTTTATTTTTGTGTATGTTGTAAGAAAGTGGTCCAGTTTCATTCTTTTGCATGTTGCTATCCAGTTTTATCCATACCTCTTATTGAAGAGACTGTCTTTTTCCCATGGGATATTCTTTCCTATTTCGTTGATTAGTTGACTATAAAGTTTTGGTTCCGTTTCTGGGTTTTCTATTCTGTTCTATTGATTTATGTGTCTATTTATGTGCCAGTGCCACACTTTCATGATCACTACAGCTTTGTAATATAACTTGAAGCCCAGAATTGTGATGTCTCCAGCTTTGTTTTTCTTTTTCAAGATTGCTTTTGTTATTGGGGTCTTTTGTGGTTAAATACAAATTCTAGGATTTTTTGTTCTAGCTCTGTGAAAAATACTGTTGGCCTTTTGATAGGGATTGCATTAAATGTGTAGATTGTTTTGTTAAAAATATTTATTATTCCAATCCATGACATGGAATGTTTTTCCATTTCTTTGTGTCATCTTCAATTTCTTTCATCAAAGTTTTATAGTTCTCAGAGTACAGATCTTTTACCTCTTTGGTTGGGTTTATTCCTAAGTATCTTACAGTTTTTGGTGCATTCATAAATGGGATCAATTCCTTGATTTCTCTCTGCTCCTTCATTTTTGGTGTACAGGGCTGCAACAGATATCTATACATTAATTTTTTATCCTGTGACTTTACTGTATTCATGTGTCTGTTCTAGTAATTTTTTGGTGGGTCTTTTGGGTTTTCTACATAGAGTATCATGTCATCTGCAAAAGTAAAAGTTTGACTTCTTTCTTACCAGTTTGGATGCATTTTATTTCTTTGTCTTTTCTGACTGCTGTGGCTAAGACTTCCAGTACTATCTTAAATAACAGTGTTGTGAGTGGTAGTTCCTGTCCTGTTCCTGACTGTAGAGGAAAAGCTCTCAGTTTTTCCCCATTAAGGATGATGTTAGGTGTGCGTTTTTCATATATAGCCTTTATTATGTTGAAGTATGTTCCCTCTAACCCTACTTTGTTGAGGGATTTTATCATGAATATGATAATGTCAAATTTGTCAAATGCTTTTTCTGCCACTATTGAAAGGATCATGTATTTCTTGTCCTTCTTTTATTAATGTGGTGTTATAGGTGGATTGACTTGAGAATATTGAACCATCCTTGCAGTCCAGGAATGAATCCCACTTGATTGTGATGAATGATTCTTTTAATGTACTGTTGAATTCAATTTTCTAGTATTTTATTGAGAATTTTTGCTTCCATGTTCATCAGGGATATTGGCCTGCAGTTCTCTTTTTTAGTGGAGTTTTTATCTCGTTTTGGTATTAAGGTAAGGCTGGCTCATAAAATGAATATGGAAGTTTTCCTTCCTCTTCTATTTTTTGGAATAGTTTGAGAAGAATAGGTATTAACTCTTCTTGAAATGTGTGGCAGAATTTCCCTGTGAAGCCATCTGGCCTTGAATTCTTGTTTTATTGGGAGATTTTTGATTACTAATTCAATTTCTTTGCTGATGATCAATCTGTTTAAGTTTTCTATTTCTTCCTGTTTCAATTTTGTTAGTTTATATGTTTCTCAGAATTTATCCATTTCTTCTAGGTTGTCCAATTTATGGGTATATCCTTTTTCATAATATTCTCTTACAATCATTTGTATTTCTGTGGTGTTGGTTGTTATTTCTCCTCTCTCATTTGTGGTTTTATTTATTTGGGTCTTTTTTCTTTTTGATAAATCGGGTCATGGGCTTACTAATATCATTATTTTTTTCAAAGAACTAGCTTCTGGTTTTATTGATCTGTTCTACTGGATTTGTTGCTGCTGCTGTTGTTGTTGTTTCTATAGCATTTATTTCTGCTTTAATCTTTATTATTTCTCTTCTTCTGCTGGCTTTAGGCTTTGTTTGTTGTTCTTTTTCTAACTCCTTTAGGTATAAGGTTAGGTTGTTTATTTGAGATTTTTCTTGCTACTTGAAGTAGGCTTGGATTGCTATATACTCCCTTTTAGGACCACTTTTGTTGCATCCCGAAGGTTTTATACCATTTTGATTTCATTTTCATTTGTTTCCATATATTTAAAAAAATTTATTCTTTGATTTCCTGGTTGACCCATTCATTGTTTAGTAGTACATTATTTAATCTCTATGTATTTGTGGTCTTTCCAAATTTTTTCTTGTGGTTGACTTCAAGTTCCATAGCATTGTGGTCAGAAAATACCCATGGTATGATCTTAGTCTTTTTGTACTTGTTGAGGCCTGATTTGTGACCTAGTATGTAATCTGTTCTGGAGAATAGCCCATGTGAACTTAAAAAGAATGTGTATGAACTGCTTTAGGATGGAATGTTCTGTTAAGTTCATCTGGTCCAGTGTGTCATGCAAAGTCATTGTTTCCTTGTTGATTTTCTGCTTAGATGATCTGTCCATTAAAATAAGTTGCATGTTAAAATCCCTTACTATTATTGTATTATTATCAATTAGTTCCTTTATGTTTGTTATGAATTGTTTATATTTGGGTGCTCCCATCTTGGGGGCGTAAATATTTACAATTGTTAGAGCTTCTTATTGGATAGTCCTATTTGTTATATACAGTGCCCTTCTTGTCTCTTGTTACAGTCTTTGCTTTAAAATCTAGTTTGGTGGATATAAGGATTGCAACTCTGGCCTTCTTTTGACTTCCATTTGCATGATAAATGTTTCTCCATCCCCACACTTTCTGGGTCTAAAATGAGTTTCATTTTAAAAAACAAGATGGGTCTTGGGGTTTTTTTAATCCATTCTGACACCCTATATCTTTTGATTAGAGTGTTTAGTCCATTTACATTCAGAGTAATTATTGATATATATGTATTTAGTGCCATTTTCTTACCTGTTTTATTGTTGTTCCTGGAGATTTTCTCTGTTCCTTTCTCATCTTTGTCACTTTTGGTCTTTCTTTTCCACTGAAAGTGTCCCCTTTAATATTTCTTGCAGGTCTGGTTTAGTGATCATGAACTCCTTTAGTTTTTGTTTGTCTGAGAAACTCTTTATCTCTCCTATTCTGAATGATAGCCTTGCTGGATAGAGAATTGTGGGCTATAGATTTTCCCATATAGCACTTTGAGTATATCATGACACTCTCTTCTGGCTTGCCCAAGTTTCTGTGGAGAGATCTACAGGTAGCCTTATGGGTCTTCCCTTGTAAGTTACAGACTTCCTTTGTCCTGCTTCTTTTAGGATTTTTCTTTATTACTGTATTTTGCAAATTTAATTACAATATGTCTTGACCTGCTTTTGTTGATTTTGGTGGGAGTTCTCTGTGCCTCCTTGATCTAGATGCCTGTTTCTTTCCCCAGATTAGGGAAGTTTTTAGCTATGATTTCCTCAAATAAATTTACTGCCCATTTTTCTCTCTTCTTCTTCTGGGTCTCTTATCATATGAATATTACTGTGTTTGATGGGGTCACTGAGTTCCCTAAGTCTATTTTTGTGTTCCATAATTCTTCTTTCTTTTGTTGGGCTTCATTATTTTCCATTCTTCTATCTTCTATATCATGTATTTGTTCCTCTGCTTTTTCCATCCTGGTGCTCATTGCATCCAGTCTTTTTTGTATATGTGCTGCCAAAGTGAGCACACATCCAGTCTTTTTTGAATCTCAGTTATTGTATTTTTCATTTTGGACTAATTGTTTTTATCTCTTTTATCTCTGTGGTAAGGGCTTCCTGAAGTCTTCCATTCTTTTCTCAAGCCCAGCAAGTATCCTTTTGATTGTTGCTTTAAATTCTCCATCAGGCATATTCCTTATATCTGTTTTGATTAGATCTCTGGACATGACCTTCTCTTGTTCTTTCCTTTGGGAAGAATTTCTTTGTCTTGGCATTTTGTCTAAAGTCTCTGTCTTCACCTTTGTGTTACAAGAGTCCATTACATTTCCTCCTCCTGAAAGTAATGACTTTATGAAGAAGACGTCATAGAGTGTCCAGGGCCTGGCACTTCCAGGAGTTTCTCTGGTGTGTACTGTGTGCACTGTGCTATTGTGTTTTTACTGCTCTATCCCTCAGGTCAGTCAGCTGCAGAGACGCTCCTTGCCTGCAGTGAGCAGTATTTGGTTCTTAGCCACAATGTAGTAAGTTTTAACTAGGTTTCCTCTGGTCT